GCGCAGGACGTAGGTACACGGACCAAAATCCCCACCCCGCTGGCGTGCAGTGTACCACTCACGGAGCTGCTGAGGGGACAGGGTCGCACGACCACGCTGCTGCTGCTGGCGCGAGCCACCACTGGAGCCACTCCTCTGCAAAGACCCGCGACCAGCTCCACCGCCACCCCCACCGCCTCCACCGCCTCCGCTGCCTCCACTGCCGCCGCCGCCTCCACCGCCTCCTCCGCCGCCGCCTCCTCCACCACCTCCGCTACCACCGCCACCGCCGCCGCGGCCTCCGCCTCCACTGCCGCCACCGAACCCCCCACCCCCACCTCCACCTCCACCGCTACCCCCACTCCCCCCACTGCCTCCACCTCCACCTCCACCGCCCGCTCCTCCAGCTCCCTTGCCCCCCTTGCCCTTGCCAGGGCGGCGTCTCCCGCTAGGGGCAGACGCCGCACCGACCGACTCAAGACCAAGGAGGTCGGCCGAAGCAGCAGAGGCAACAGAGGGCAGCAGGGGGGAGGGAGAACACCCCTCAAAGATGGGGGTGCGCGGGTCACCTCGAGAGGCTCCTACAGCGACTATGCTCTTTTCTATCGCGAGGAGGGCCTTCTCGAGGAGGTCTACAGTGAGTGTGGTGGGACAGACTGAGAGAAAGTGGTCCCTGACTACTCGAAGGGAGTCAGGGAGGCGAGTGACTAGGAAGTACAGAGTGATGTACATGGGGGGGGGGTTCGCGGTGCAGAAGTCAGCAGGAAGTGCAGCGCGGTAGCGAGTGTCACTAGTGCGGAGGTGCGTAATGAGGTCAGCAACGGTGGGAAAAGAAGCAAGGTCAGGGAAGAGGTACGGCAGCATGAGACGGCTCAGTGCAGCAGTGGAAGGGGAGGAGTAGCGCGCGACTACAGCGGCGTACAAGGTCTGAGCACTCTTGTACTGACTAAAGTGCGCACGCTCGGAGGTAGGGAGGTGGCGACGCACAGCAAGACGTGCAGCAGCATCGCGCGTGGCCCACTGGGAGCGAACAGTGGCGTCAGCATCAGCAGCAGGGGCAGGGGAAGCGCCAGAGGTGAGGTCAAAGAGAGAGAGGTCGTCCGCCCTATCGCACTGTAAGAACAGCTGTAGGTCATCTACCCAGACCTCAAAGTCAATGGCCCGACCCTCAGCGTCAAAAGTGAGGACACTAGGGGTAGCCATGACAGCAGTAGACCAGCAGTGCAAGGAGTAGGGGAAGAGCACGCAGTGACAGAGGGTCTGTGCTCACCGGACAGGGCTGCTCGGGCGGCTCGGCTGCAGGGCGGCTCGGCCGCTGGGCGGCTCGGCGGCTGGGCGGCTCGGCAGCTGGGCGGCTCGGCGGCTGGGCAGTCGGCTGCACGGCGGCTCGACTGGTGGGCGGCCGGGCGGCTCGGCTGCAGCGCGGCTCGGCGGCGGGGCGGCTCGGCTGCTCTGCTGCTGGGCGGCTCGGCTGCGCTGCTGTTGGGCGGCTCGGCTGGGCCGCTGACGTAGGGCGGCGGGGCCGCTGTAGAGGAGTGGCGGGGCCGCTGCAGAAGGACGGCGGGGCCGCTGGGTAGTGAGGCGGCGGGGCCGCGAAGACGGGCGGCGGGGCCGCTGCAGAGAAGCGGCGGGGCCGCAGTGAAGGGCGGCGGGGCCGCAACGAGAGAGGCGGCGGGGCCGCAGCGAGAGAAGCGGCGGGGCCGCGAAGTCGGGCGGCGGGGCCGCTGAGTAGGGCGGCGGGGCCACAGTGAGAGGCGGCGGGGCCGCAGCGAGAGAGGCGGCGGGGCCGCGAAGACGGGCGGCGGGGCCGCTGAGACGGGTGGCGGGGCCGCAGTGAGTGGCGGCGGGGCCGCAGCGAGAGATGGCGGCGGGGCCGCGAAGACGGGCGGCGGGGCCGCAACGAGAGAGGCGGCGGGGCCGCAGAAAAGGGCGGCGACGGGCCGTAGGCTGCGCGAAGCCGCAGGTAAGGGCGGCGACGGGCCGGGGCGGCTCGAAGCCGCAGGTAGAGGCGGCGCGAAGCCGCGGGAAGGGCGGCGACGGGCCTGGGCGGCGCGAAGCCGCAGGTAGGGGCGGCGCGAAGCCGCCGGTGAGGGCGGCGCAAAGCCGCGGGTAAGGGCGGCGACGGGCCGGGAAAAGGGCGGCGCGCCGCAGCCGCTAGGGCGGCTCGACGCGACCGTAAGGGCGGCGCGACGGGCCGCTAGGTGCGGCTCGACGGGCCGCTAAAAAAAAAAAAAGGCAGGCGCGACTCGAGGCGCGCTTCGGTGGGCCCAAGGAACAGTCCCTAGGAGGGGACCTGCTCTGATTCCATGTGATAATGAGAACGAGAATGGATGAACTATGAAATGAAGTGAGTACAAATATGAAACCCTAATTAGTTGTACCCCCTATGGGATACCCCACTATAGCCTACACAACAGCATAAGCTACAATGTTCTGACAGGTAGTTGTATCAAAATTTGAAAGTTTGAAGGTGTCCAAATGGCCGGAAACGTGCGACGTCGTCGCACCTTTGAAGGGGGCGTTGTAACAAAATATCGCTCGGCGATGTGTGAGATGTTGCAGGTGACTGCTATTATTTGATGTCGACTACGTGGCCGGATTAGAGTCGACGCCGCGACGGACTAGTGTCGACAGTTTTAGACGGCCACCAATTTAGCAAATACACATGGTTCGCGGTATTTAACCGCCATTATTTTAACCACGTTTGCCGGCATGCTGGACGTTTTCTGTTGGGTGGCCAGAAATAGCTGTTCACACTTGACCGAACCAAGTTGGAGAATCGCTATGCCTTTTTCTTTATATTTCAGTTGGCGCCGTGCATCGGGTAAGCGACTTTTCCATCACAGTTTTCCCGACATAATCGTCACCGTCGATGTTTTTACTCTCCTAACACTCGAACAATCCAGATGGCGAAAAAGGCCAAACTGTTTCTTTTGAGGAGTACTGTCAGAACTTTCCATGATGTTCAGATATTTGGTGTGAAATGAATGACAAAACGTTTGCTCCTTTATTGTCACCACGACCAGATAATTCAAACTCCTGCTACCAATTTTCGCGCGGTTAAAATACCGCGGTCTAGGTGTAGTGGCCGATGTTAACAAAATTCAAGAAAATCTTAACGAACGTCGTTGGCTGGTTACTTTCGCAAAAACCTGCCACAGTCGGGTTTTTTTTTGCATATTTAAATCGCCCTCATTAAGGGCGTTTGACATTGTATAGAAGAGGTAAAAGTCCAAACCACCGTCCGATAAAGGTTCGGATACCGAATTTTCGGACCGTCCGAGTCCAACGTCAGGACTAAACCTCGTCCGAACGTTGTTTATGAAACGTTTTCTACTTACGAGATTAAAAACAATAGCGAGCTTGAAACAACGACTACGACACCATCGCAATATAGGTAAATCGCGTCACTATTATGTTCGTCCGTTTATCGAACGGTAGTAGTCGTCCGTGTCGAAGCGAAAGGCCCCGCCCTCGCTTGAGGCAGCCGATCTCACCGTCGACGGGAAGTTCTCGACGGATTGGTCGAAGAAGTGGGCTTCTGCAGTTCGACGGAAGTTGCGGTCGAGCAGGCTCTGCTCGACAGAATATGGTCGACGATCTCTGCGCGACGAGCTCCCGTCGAGGAACTCTGGTCGAGGAGTTCGGGTCGAGGAACTCTGGTCGAGGAGTTCGGGTCGAGGAACTCTGGTCGAGGAGTTCGGGTCGAGGAACCCTGGTCGAGGAGTTCGGGTCGAGGAGCTCTGCTCGAAGAGTTCGGGTCGAGGAGCTTTGCTCGGCGAACGTTGTTCGACCGAGCGATGTCGAGCTGATCGACCAAAGTTGCAGAGTTGCGCGAAACTCTGCGGAGGCGTGCGAACTTTCGCCCAGGAGGTTTTGGCGAAGTTCTACCTGCGGAACGGCATCACGTGGTCGACGGTGCGCACCTGGCGAAACCGACGACACGTTTTCTACCTGGCACCTGCGCAATGTGCCTGACGGTGAAATCGCCAACCTGCACCTACTTGGTAGGTGCGCACATCTGCGCAGATAGACAACCTGCGACTGCAGATAGTTACCTGCGACTGCAGATAGTCACATGTGACTGCAGTGCTGGCAGACCGCGCGCAGTGCAACGTTGGCAGACCACTCTGCTGCAGCGTTGGCAAGCCGCTCCTCTGCTGCGCTGGCAGATTTCGCCCTTGCTAGGTGTTGCATGCCATTCTAGTCCTTTTGTTCTGCATGCCTCAATTGTACTATCAACTTTTCATTGCAAGTTGTTCTTTCAACTTTTCCTTTGTGGAATTCTTGCCAAACTTTTGTGTGAACACAAGCAAGAACTAAGAACGCTAGTGCAAAGCTACGATCACTCGCACAACCCCGTGCCCTCCTCCGTAGTCCACTCCTGTTGTGTAGTGACTCTCCGCAGTCCGATCGATTTGTGAGGGTAATTTACGCAATGGAATATCCCAGCGGAAACGGGTCGTCAGGCTTGACGACCCTTTGACGACCTGACGACATGCTGCCCCGGGCAGAAAAAACAAAAACCCTATCGGATGGCATGCCATCCAAGGGAGGCATCAACCCTAAACACCATGCCTCTCCGTGTTTAAGGTTGATGCCTCCCTGACCGGATGCATTCCCGAATGGGTTTTATTTGTTTTGCCCGTGGGCAGCGAGCTCCCCCGGGCGGACTCGCTTGTCCGCTGAGATATATTCGGAGAGTTCCATCAGCGGTCCGATCGTTCGCAAGTGCTCTAACGAAAAATGCAACGGTAACCACAAAAATGTCCGGACGGGCGTCCGTCCGGACGGGCAAAAGTGAAAAATGTCACACGCCCTAACGTTGAACAACTTGGGCTGCAGGTTTGAACTTCGCCACATTCGGTCCGTACAAAGGTTGGTTGGTGCTTTTCAACTACCGACATGCCAGTGCAGAATGCGACGCGTTGACTCGTGTGCGACTCACAGTCTCTCTTGTCGTATTGACGCCGCTTGTCGCTCATCGTCGTACAGTGCCGCTGCTCTCCCTGCAGCAGCCGATGGGGTTGCTATCGCTCGTGAAGCGGAGAAATGCCGCCGCCAAAAGCGATGCCCCGGCCGACACCGCCGACGCGCAGCCCGCCGCCCCTGCGGCCGCGGAGCAGCCGCCGCCAGCCGCCGCACCTGCTGAAGGAGCTGACGACGCGGTAGATTTGGTGCGCAAGGCAGGCTTAGCGGCGAAGGCGGCGAAGGAAGCGGCGAAGGAGGAGGTGGGGGAGGCGGAGCACACAGTGCGCGTGCTGGGGCGCGCGTACGAGAGCGTGCACGAGGCGTACAGCATGGGGCGCGAGCTGGGGCGCGGGCAGTACGGCGTGATCCGCGCGTGCGTGGAGAAGGCGACGGGCGTGGCGTGGGCATGCAAGAGCATCAGCAAAGCGCGGCTGGCGGGCGCGCGCGAGGTGGAGGACGTGCGGCGGGAGGTGCGCGTGATGCAGCAGCTGCGCGGCCACCCCGCCATCGTGGCGCTGCACGCCACCTTCGAAGACCACCAGGTGCGGCGCGCATGGCAGGGGGTGTGCAAGCGCAGGGCTTGGCATGTCGGACGGGCTCTGTTGCCACGTGGCACGGGAATTTGCTGCTGCTTTATCGGGCTCGTGATTCGGCCTGAAGCCCTGTATGTCTGACTATGCGCCATTGCTTTAAATCCCACTGTGTGCATTGCTCTACTGTGCCTGCTGAGCCGGTGAGTGTTTGTGTGTGTGTGTGTGTGCGTGCGTGCGTGCGTGCGTGCGTGCGTGCGTGCGTGCGTGCGTGCGTGCGTGCGTGTGTGCGTGGGTGGGTGTGTGTGTGTGGGTCCCAGCAAGTGCATCTGATAATGGAGTGCTGTGAGGGCGGGGAGCTGTTTGACCGCATTCGCCGGCGCAAGCGCTACCCGGAGGAGGACGCGGCGGCGGTGTGTCGCACGCTGGTGGCGGTGGTGGGGCACCTGCAGCGCCACGGCCTCATGCACCGCGACCTCAAGCCTGAAAACATCCTGCTCGTGTCGCCCGCCTCCCACACGCACGTCAAAGTCGTCGACTTCGGCCTCGCCCTCCCCGTCAAGCCAGGTGCCCTCCCCGTCCAGCCAGGTGCCCTCCCCGTCAAGCCAGGTGCCAGGCTATTTGTCCGCAGTTACTTCACACACGCGCTCATCTCGCCTCCTCCTTGCACTCCACTGCCTCCCTCCCTCATTCGTGGGGCGCTGCTCACCCGCACCGCACCTCACCTCTGCACGCATGGCACGGGGGGCATGGGCATGGCGGGGCGGTGTGGGTGGCAGGGGCGCGGCTGACGGTGATGGCGGGGAGCAGCTACTACATGGCGCCCGAGGTGCTGGACCACTGCTACGGCGCCGAGGCGGACATGTGGAGTGTGGGCGTCGTGCTCTTCATCCTGCTGGCCGGTGTGCCGCCCTTCTGGGCCGACAGCGAGGCGGGCATCTTCAGCGCCATCCGGGCGGCGCGTGTGGACGTGTTCAGCGGGGGGTGGGCGCATGTGTCCCCCGACGCCAAGGACCTCGTGCTGCGCCTGCTCACCCGCCACCCCGCCCGCCGCATCACCCCCGACAAGGCCCTCTGTGCGTTGGGGGGGGGGGGGGAAGGGGTGGTAGGACAGAGGGGCGAGGTGGGATGGAGGGATCTGCGTGGGGGAGGGTGATTCTGGGGGGAAAGCATGAGGAGTTGGAGTAGGCATCTGGTGGTTCAAACAGGGGCGGACCCTCTCTACCGCCTCTCTACCGCCTTCACTCCCCCCCCAACGCACATCCACCTCCACCGTCACAGCACACCCCCCTCCCACCCGTCCCTCTGCTCTCTCCTCTTCGCCCTCGCAGCCCATCGGTGGTTCAAGTCCGTCACTGCCGGCCCCCCAGCCTCCCCTCTGCCCATCAAGGGCCCCCCGGCAGATGCTCCCACGCGCGCCCTGTCAGCTGCTGGCCTGGCAGGTGTGCGTCCGGGCGGCACGCGCGGGTCCAGCACAGCGGGGGCAGGCGGAGAGAGGGCGGTGAAGGGAGGGGAGAGGGACGGTGGTGGCAGGCGAGGTGGGCAGGAAGGAGTGGCGGCGAGCAGGAGTGTGGAGGGCGCGGGCTGGCGGGAGCAGGGGAGGAGGGGGTGCGCGGACGATGGGCGGGAGTTGGTGCGAGGCAGGGCGGGCAGCAGCGAGGGCAGCGCGGGCCGTGCAGCACGGCTGACACGGCACCGGTCGGAGGATGTGGGGCGGCTGCTGAGAGGCGCAGGGGGGGCACGGGAGTGGCAGGGCGGCACGGTGGAGGAGGAGTGGAAGGCGATGAGGAGAGAGGAGGGGAGAGGAGCGCGGGGCAACGACATGGGAGGGGAAAGGGAAGGAGGCGTGGAGATGAGGGATGAGGAGGGAGAGAGGAGCAAAGGTTGGAACATGAGCAGGGAGAGAGGTAGAGAGAGGGATCGAGAAAGAAATCGGAGTATGGACAGGGAATGGGAGTGGGAAAAGCGAGTGGAGATGGATAGAGACACAGGTAGGGAGTGGGAGTGGGAGAGGGATAGACACAGGGGTAGGGACGAGGAGAGAGAGAGGATCAGGGAAGAGGAGAGGGGTAGAGACAGAGTGAGCGAGGGGAAGAGGGATAGAGACAGGTTCAGGGAGGAAGAGAGGGATAAGGACAGTGATGAGGAGGGGGAGAGTGAAAGGGAGAGGGTAAGGGACAGGTTCAGGGGGAGGGATAGGGAGGGCGATCGAGAGCGGTACCGATTGCAAGATGGTGGGAGGGCATACAGGAGGAGTTTCGAGTTGGATGATGAAAGGGAGAAAAGATGGAGAGAGTTGGATAGCGGCAGGGACAGGCGCAGAGAGAGGGGGAAGGAGAGAGAGGAGATGGGACGGGAGAAGGATTGGAAAAAAGACGTGAAGGGGGAGAGGGTGAGAGGGAGACGAAATGAAGGTAGTGGGGCGGAGGTAGGGCGTGGTGGGGAGCAGGGTGGAGTGGGAGTGGGGGATGGAGGGAGGAACGGGGTGCTGTGGCGAGTGGGCAGTGGCAGCAGGCGGTTGGGGGAGAAGGCAGGCGGCGTGGGAGGGGTGGGAGGGGTAGGAGGGGTGGGGGGGGTGGGAGGGGTGGGAGGGGTGGGGGGTCTGCAGCGCCATAAGTCGGATGTGAGCGGCCTGCTGGCAGCGGAGCACGCCCGGGCCACCCACCACCACGCCCTCTCCCCTTCTCACCGCTCCCCCCTCTCCCCCTGTCACCGCTCCCCCCTCTCCCCCCTCTCCAGCCCCGATTCCCCCCCTGGTGCCGGGCGCGCCCCCCGCCCGCGCCCCTCACGGCGCTCGCACGCGCGCCTCTCGTGCGACCTGGACGCACCGCATGGCAGCGCCGCCACCACCCGGGGCGGAGCACATGGGGGGGACGAGGTGGGGGGAGGTGGCGTGGGGGGGAGAGCAGAGAAGGAGTGGGGCAGGGCGAGCGCGCGGAGGAGAGCCATGCAGCGGTCGCCGTCTCCCGAGCGCGAGAGGGGGGAGGGCAGTGAGGGGACAGCGCACCGACGCACTGGCAGCAGCAGCGCCGCCCACGACCCCAGCAGCGCTCGCCCCTCACGGGCGTCCCACCCCACTGGGCTGCCCCCTCCCGGCGACCACCACCGCCGCTACCGCAGCTCCGGCGACGTGCTGGCCGACCTCGCCTGCCCCGAACCCACCCCCGCCCCCCCCACCCGCACGCCCGCCTGCGCTGCGCCGCGCTCCCTGTCTGGCGGGCGCCCCCCTGACTGCCCCCCCCGCCCGGGGCTGGCCGGCAGCAGAGGCGCGGCAGGCAGGGAGGAGCAGGGCGCCGGTGACACGGGCTCGGGGCGGGATGGTGCGGGACGAGTGGGTGAGCGCGCGCGGCACAGCAGGAGTGCGTCGGTGGGGGTGGCGGGCATGGGGCGCAGGGAAGGGCGGAGGCATGGCGATGGGGAGGAGGGGGATGAGGAGGACGAGATTTATGGGGATAGGTGGGGGGAAGCAGAGGCAGAGATGGCAGCGCGGTCGCCGGCGGCTGGGGGTGTGCGGGCAAGGATAGAGGAAGCAGCAGCGGATAGGCTGCTGGGCGGCGGTGCGAGTGGGGGTGGTTTGGTTCGGCACCAATCCATGGACGTGGCGTCGCTGCTGCACACCCGCTCTGCTGATGACGCTGACTGCCCCTCATCCGCTGTGCGCCGCGCCCTGTCCCCTGTGCCAAGCCTCAACACATCCAGGCGCCGCGCCAATCCATCAACGTGCGGACGGGAGGAGGGAGCACCCAGGCGCCGCCACGATGCCTCCTTGCCCACTCCCCCCCGTGCCCGCTCCCCTCTTCCACCCTCGCCCTCGCCCGGTGTGCATGATTGCCACTCGGCCCACTCGCCCTCGCCCACCCACAACGCCCCCTTGCATGCGTGCCCGGCTGCCTCTCCCCCTGCCGCCACACCCCCCTCAGCGCTCGCCCCTCGGCCCCCCCATCGCGCGCGGCGCAACAGCGTGGACCTGGATGCGGGCGGGCGGGCTGGTGGGTGGCGCGAGGCCCAGCGAGACGCAGAGGAGGAGCACGGCAGCAGCGGAGGCAGCAGCCCGGGAGGGGGCAGTGGCTGCCGCACGAGGGGCAGCAGGAGGGGGGTGGCAGAGGGAGGTGAGAGAGGTGAGGGAGGAGAGGGAGGAGAGGGAGCGGAGCATGACAGGTGGAGCTCTGGCCAGGCACCGAGAGCAGTGGGCAGCGCAGGGGAGCTTGGGGGGGGAGGTGGAGGACACAGGCACATGCGCAGCAGCAGCAGCAGCAAGGTGATGCCGTGTGTGCGTGGGTCTAAAGGCATGGCTGGCAAGGGGGAGAGTAGAGATGATTCACCGCTGGGCGGAGATGGTGGGGGCGAGTGCAGTGGGTGGGAGGGGGAGGGCTCCGAGGTGCACGGCGGGGAAGTGCTATGGGGGCTAGGACACAGGGTGAGCGGGCGGGGCCTGAAGGCGGTTGAGGCGGCTGATGAGAGGCAGTGGAGCAAGGGAAGTGCCGGCAGGCTGGCGCGGTACCGATCCGTAGATGTGTCTTCCCTTCTCCACTGACCCTGCTCTCCGTGTCTTTCCATTCTTCCTTTACTGATATCCTTCTTCACCAGCTCTCTCAAGTCAGAGTTTGAGCAGCTACAACAAGGCGGAAATGTTCATCCAACGTTTCACAACAAAGTGAAATGTTCAGTGTTGCACAAGAAATTGTCGCAATTTCGGAAACAGGCCCTCAGTTTGGATTCAGGGGACCCTGACCCATCAGGGCTGCCCCCCCCCAAAAAAAAAAAATTGCCCTGATTTATCAGTGCTGAGGTGCAAACTTTATCCTGAATTGTCAGGGTAACATCTGTTACAATCCTAAAGAGGACTTAGCGAAGGATCGTCTCAGGGTTGATCGCAGGTTTGAGTTGTTGCAGCGGAAATATTGACCTCAGGTTAGAGTGAATGTAATTGACTGAGATGAATAAGAGCATGCATACATCGAGTTTATATATAGAGTACAAGGAATACGAAACGACCTAGACTAGCCATGTACTCTAAGGGGTACATTCCCTTATTACTGCGAAATTCAACCGTGCGGCGCGGGAACCCGTTTCAAACCTGTTCCCGCTCTTTTCAGTTCAAATGCATCTGCCTGCATCGGTCTTGATCTGACGGTTGCTGGTGTCGCTTCGACTCTTCTGACTCCTCGACTTCGTACTCGGTAGAGTCGGCTACTGCAGCATACAGGAATGCCTTACTCATTTTTCACATCGTAACACTCCCCTTCATTCCTGGTTGCGCAGAGGGCTGACTCGCTTGACCACTCCGGTAAGGTTGGAGCAGTGCTGGTACTGCTGACGTGGCAGTCGCTTGGTGAGGAAATCAGCTGCCATCTCGGTGGTGGGGCAGTATGTGAGGTCAACCTTGCCCTGGTCAATTTCGTCTTTGACGAAAAAGTATCGAAGCGCGATGTGCTTCGTGTTGTTGACGAATCCTGGCTTGTTCGCGATCTTGATGGCGCTCTGGTTGTCGCAGTGGAGGCGAAAGGTGAGCGAGGTTGAGATTTTCGCTTCCTGCAGTAGTTCTTGCAGGTAAAGTCCTTCGCGAACTGCTGCTGTCGCGGCGATATACTCTGCTTCGGCCGATGACAGGGCAACCAGTTCCTGCTTTTGCGAGTTCCAAGAGATTGGTCCTGTTGGCTCCAGGCGAAAGACGAAGCCGGTTCGCGACCGTCGATTGGCGGGGTCAGCAGCATTATCTGCGTCCACGTAACCGTTGAGGTTGAATTATGTTGCTGTCAGCGTGGAGTAGGAGAGCCCGATGTCAGGTGTGGATATGAAGTACTCTAGGGCGTGCTCCAGGTCTAGGTGGTTCTCTGCTACTGGCTTGCGGGAATACTGTGCCAGTTGGCTGGCGATGTACGAAAGGTCGGGTCAGCAAGTGACGGAGGCGAACAGCAAGCACCCCAGTTGCTGCTGGTAAAGGTGGAGTCCTGCGGGAGATTGAGGTTTGTTGTCCGGTTTGTAGTTGGCGCTGGGGGTGCGGTAAGGAGTTGAGAGTGGTGCGGGCGAGATTTTGAAGCGTTCCCCCAGCTGCTCTGCGTACTTAGAAGCTGACAGGTGAATTGCTTCTGGCGCGTAAGAGATGTTCAGCCCCAGGAACTGTGTGACCTTGTGGTTGATGGTGATGTCAATGCGCTGCGCCAAGTTTGCTTTGAACTCGTCCAGGAGCTTGTTGCAGGTGCCGGTGTACAGCAGGTCGTCAACGTAGACTGTCAGGAGGATGTAATCGCCGTTGAAGTGGAGGCGGTACATTCCCGGGTCGTGCGACAGCTGCCTGAAGCCGATCTCCAGAAGTATATTGTGCAAGTGCTGCTGCCAGAGACGCGGCGCCTGTTTTATGCCGTAGAGAGATTTCTTCAGCTGGCAGACCCTGGGATCTCGTTCCCCGTAGCTGTGAGGTTGTTCCACGAAGATGGTTGCGTCGACCAACGCATATAGGAACGCGTTCTGGACGTCGATCTGCCGCAGTGGTAGGTGCTTAGCTGCAGCGATGGCGAGTAGGATCCTCACAGAGGTATGGCGACTGACGGGAGCGAAGGTCTGGTCGAAGTCGATGTTGTGGCGCTGGTCGTAGCCGCGTAAAACCCAGCGTGCTTTGAAACGCTTGATAGTTCCGTCAGCTGCAGTCTTCAGACGAAAAACCCATTTTCCGCGTAGCACCCTCCTCCCCTTCACTGCTGCACGATCGACTAGGACCCAGGTGTCTCGTGACTCCAGTGCTTTCAGCTCCGCATCCATGGCTGCACGCCACTCCTTGGCGTGTGGTCCGGTGAGGGCCTGTCGTGGGTTCTTATGTTCGACTATGCGGGGGACGGAGGTGACTGCCGTGTGTAGGCCGAGAAGTTGAAGGCCTGTGACGTTGGAGGCGCCTTCGGCTTCCTGAGCGGTGACCTCCACTACGTCGTCATCCTCGCTTTCGTGGGATGGTGAGGTGTTGCTTGGCGGAGCATGGCGACGTGATGGTCCGGTCGCGGGAGCGTCATCGCTGTCATCATCATCGTCGTCGTCGCGTGGACGAGGAGGTACGCCGGGATGTTCGTCCATGGGGTCGCGGTCGAGTGCTGCTGCTGCAGCCTCATCTTCCGGCATAGCGAAGCTGCGGCCATGGTTGGCGTAGGCTCGTGTGACATGACGGAGCTGATCCTCGTTCCACTGCTTCAAGGTGAGTCGTTCGTAGAAGAGAATATCGCGCGCCGGCACGATCTTGTCGTTGTCGATGTCAAGGATCTGCCAGCCCTTGTATTCGTGGCTGAGTCCCAGGTGCACTCCCCATCGTGCACGTTGTGTGAATTTCCCGATGGTCGCCGATGTCGGCCGATAATGCACCATACACCCCTAAACCCTCAGCATGGAGGTATCTCCCCTTGTCCCGGTCCACTTCATGTGCGGGGAGAGATTTCCCCTGTTCGCCGTGGTGGAGAGGAGGTTGTGCAGGCGCACGGCGTGATTCATGGCGTACGGCCAATACTTCTTGGGTAGGCCGGACTGATTCATGAGGGCGCGAACCTTCGTCTTGAGAGTGCGGTTGACTCTCTCTGCGACGCCTTGTTGCTGGTGAGCGTAGGGGAGTGAGATGTCGTGCTTGGTCCCCTTTTCCGCGAGAAGCCCTTCCAGCTCGTGGCTGTGAAACTCCTTGGCGCCGTCGGTCTGCCAGATTTTCAGCTTCTTTCCTGATTGTCGTTGCGCGTGTGCGAGCCAGATGTGAAAAACTTCAGGAGCCTTGGAGCGGACGTCGACGTTGGCGACCAAGACGTGTCATGAGTACGCGTCCACAAAGGTGAGGGTGTTGTTCTCATCGTTGAGTCCTTCACAGGTGATTATGATGAAATCGCTGTAAACCTTCTGCAGCTTCTTGTAGCGATTGGTGCTCGGCGCCAGTGAGGGGAAAGCTTGGTGTGTGAGGGCAGCAGTGGGGCAGACGGTGCAGGTGGTTGGGTGTGATGTGCTGAGGGGTTCCGTGCCGTTAGGGTGCAGGAGTGCTTCTGGACGAAAGACTTTGGCGCGGAGGCAGTTGCTGAATGTCTGGAGCGCGGGGTGTCCGAGTCGCTGATGCCAGAGATCTTCTTCTGCGCGAACTCCAGGGGTGCGCAGGTAACGTGCGTGATATGCGGCTGCTTCTTCTTCTGTTTCATGCGGGATTTCGAGCACGGATCCTTCTTCTTCTCCTGGCTTTGTTTCGTCTTCCTCCTCCTCTGGTTCTGGTTCTGCTGTTGTCTCCCCATCTGCAGGTGTTGTTGTGAGGTAAAGCGCAAAGAAGTTGCGGCGGGGATGATGGTGAGTGGAGTCTTGGTGCCCTCGATGAGTCGGGCGAATGGATCTGGGCGTGAGATTGGTCCACGCGCGTCACGAGGCGGGGTTGATGGTACGTTCCCCTCCTCAATCGTAGACCAGGTCGAGCTCCAGTGATAGGGTGATTGTGGCGGAGATGCGCGACTGTGCGGCGGCCGTCCGAGGGGAATTGCGACTCGTGGGGGTCGTTCTCCGCGTTCAGCGGCAGTTTCTCGTTCTATCTCTTCCAGCTCTTCTCTGGTGGGCAGGGCATCCATGTAGTCGTTGTCGCCCCATCCTCCTGCATCGCCCCAGCCGCCTGTTCCCCATCCTTGCACCGAGCCGGATGCGCCAGTTGCAGATCCCCATGTTGCGCCAGAGGTGCCGGGATCTCCCCAGGCGCCGCGGCGTGCTGATTCCGGACTCCATCCTGCAGCGATGCGCTCTTGGTACAGGCGTTCCTTTTCCTCTGCTGCTGCTTTTTCTTCCTCTTCTTTTACGCTGAGCTCATGGGACTTGTCTGGATCTTTCCATCCTTTGTCGATGGTGCGGTAAACGTCGCGAGGGTAAGGGCGCGGCCGATTCTCGTCATCGAACGTTCCGACCGTGGCTTCTTCCAGGATCCAACGGAGAGTTTCTGCTGCGGGTGTTGGGCGCTCCGCCGCTCGCATGCCGAGCTCGTCATTCTTGGTGCCGAAGACGCGGTGAGTGGTAACTGCCAACTCCATTTCTGTCATGCCTGTAGGTTCGGCTTCGGCGCTTTCCGCCTCTTAAATTCCCGCAAGACCTCTCTCCACTTCTTCCATGCGGCTTGCTGTGGGTGTGAAGCATGTGGTGCAGAGTCCGTCGGGGCCGGGTTGATGCAGATTTATCTCATGAGGGTGAGGGCTGCGGCGGATCCATGGTTGGCCGTCCGGATGCTGCTACGACTCCACGTTCATGTATGAAAAGTCCAGGGGAACGAGGTCCACGAGCTCGTCTGACGACGCCTGGCAGTTGGGTATGTCGAAGTCGAGCACGTAGACACCGTTGAGCGAGCGAGCTCTTCCGAGGTATTTGTGCAACTCGACGAGTGTGTCTGGAGGAGCGTAGGTGAGGATGAGGTCGCGCGCGTAGGGGTCCGTAGCGAGCATTACTCCGCAGTCCTTGGGTTGTCCTGCGGACAGCAAGTTAAAACGAAGATCTGGCACATAGAGCACGTCATTGAACGTGATGTGCGTGTTGCTGTCTCGAGCTTGCAGTACG